TGCTGGATTTGTGCCCCCAACAGTTTTTATTTAAGGGGGAGAGAATGGTTTCGGATTTCTCCTGCAAAGCCTTTAAGAGAGCAGCTAAATCATTGGCATGACCAAAAGGCAGCTTGGATGAGGATGGCGCTCAATGGCAGAGCACATGGCTTCCATGTGTGAGGGCCTAGGTTCAATCCCTGTCATGGAACGAAAACAAACTATTTTAAATGTGACTGCATATAAGAGCGTGCATAATTTCTTAGTGAATTCCACGACAAAATTAAATGCTTGGAGCTTCTGCAGCATTTTCTCTCAAATTCAAAGAAAACAAATTCCACAGAAACCCTTAGACCATTAACACAATTTTAAGATGTTCATTGAAATGCTATCCTAGCCAAAGCGGAAAGCAGTACCAGATACATTTTTAGGGGGCTCATCTGCACTTACACAGTGTCATGAAGCTTGCTCAGTTTTTGAAGGCTCAGCTCATGAAAGTAAAATTTACGTTCTGCCCTATTAAATGTTCAGCGTTTTCATGACTTTCATTCCTCTTTGCCTTATGCATTTGCAGGATGAAAACTCCAGGTCTCATCTCATCTTTCTAAAAAAACTGCAGTCTCTGAGGATTTTTTTTCCATTTCTATACTGAAACTGATCATGGAGACCCACAATGAAACCCATTTACAGTTCTCATTCTCTTCCCTGAGAAGGAACTCTCCAATGTTTGCACTTGGCTTCCTTGTACGAAGAGCCTAGTTTATGTGCAACCAGTTATACTGCTGATCTCGCCATTCAATTTTGCAATCCACTCTAACAAAATTAATTCGAAACATCACTTCCAGATTTTAAAAGCTGTACTTATCCCAAAATCAAGTACAATTTTAGCTCCCAATTAAAACTTTTTGCCTTCCAATAAATAACACTTGTAATACAACATTCTTATTTTAAGCAGAAGGAACAAATGAGCCAGTCACAAGTTAAAATTAAACACATTTCTAAGCAAAACTTAAAATAATTATTGGGGAGTTTCCAATGTTTTACAATCACTCACACTTTTTCCCTTTGTCATACACAATGTCTTTATACACTGTACTTGTAAAATTTTTTTTACTCTGTTGGGGAATGTAGATTCAGTTTTCGTCTTAATCCCTAAATTCTGCACATATTCACTTGATCCCATGTAATAATAATTTTGACTGTAACTGAGTAAGAGGTGTTATTTTAAAATTCTCACCCATCACCGGGGGCTGTGCAATTTGAGAGTTACTGAAGATTTAATACATAAACACAAAGATTAGCCATCTTTTTTCCTAAATTGGGAATGTAAACAGAAACTCACCCATTCTGTTATTTATTAATTGTTCCACAACAGTACGAAAGTTCATACCAAAGTACCAAAAGAAGTCTGAACTGAAAGACAAAGTAGAACAACTCTTTAACCAAAGTTCCTCTTTACTCTTCTAGTTACTTAAACGCTCCAGAACCCGTCCATACTGAAAGAGCAAACTACCTTAGAATGGAGGGGAAAAGATCAAGGCCAACACCCAGTCCTTTTCTTCACTCTTTCTTACCTCACTAACACACAACCTCTGCCCAGTTATTCTTTTATCCCCTACATAGGGTACGATTTCCTACTGGCAGAGAAGATCCAAATCATCGAATTTTTCTTTTTCAGTCCATTTTTTAAAAAGAGATACCTCTTTTGTAACATGTAACATGCCCGACGAGGCTGGTTTGCACAGTACCTTTCAAGCTAGTCACAATTTAGGCTGGATGAAATAGTCTTAGTATTAAGAACATACATGATCACTTCTAGGTGAAAAGGTAGGGGGTTGGTTGAGTTCATTTCTGCCTATTTCCATCTGAGGGAAGCTACTTCTGTGGGGCCACAAGTGGCTGACTACAGTCATTATATAGTGTTAACTTTCCTTTGTTGACAGAAAACACTGAACAATTGTCCGGGCTAGCATCTCTATGGTACTTATTATCAAGTGAGAAATTGTAAAGATTTCATAAATCCTATTCTCCTTATTATTTTCCCAGTTTATCAGAAAACTCGATTCTGTATGTGCTATTATACAGTCAATACATACTCCTTAAAAGCCAATTAAATTGTAAAAAGAAATCTAAAGTACTCTAATATTTGACACATTTTTGGTTTAGATATTGACTCTCCAGTTTATTTGCACACTAAGATTTTAATATTTTGGCAGGGATGTTACTGATTTTGTTTTCTGACCAAACCATAATAGAACTGAACCCTAACTTTGCATGTAGGCAAAACATGCCCTCAGCCAATTGGTCTCCCTTTGGCCACTGCAATCTTTTAAAGCAAGAATGCTTAACCTGAGTCTAATTTTTTTTTCAGGGGGAGGCGGTTTAAGAAGTTGAGGGCAGGGGAGTGTCTTATAAACATGTAGGCTGGCTGGTAACCCCAGTGTGCTGACTTATTTCTAGTTATACATGGGTTGGGATGGGGGGGGGTCATCATCCTATCAACAGTTGCCCCAAAGAGCCTGCAGCCCTAAAAACTGTTATGCAATATGCAATTCTCCCCTAGAATGTAAATAGAATATGCTTAAGTTAATCACACTCAAAAACAGTCAGCACTTTTCTAAAGAGCCAAACAGGTACAAAGCAAACAAATCATTTTAAAAGCGTCTGCTGTCCTTGTGGTAATCATTTTGTAAAACCAACTATAATCTCACAGGGAACTTTTCTTTCCCATCAGAGTATTTTTCCCATCAAGATTAAGAGTATTCTTTAATACTGTCCTTATGCTAATGCTTATTTTCAGTAAAGAAACTTTAAGGAGATATAGATATAGATATGATTTACACATTTTCCTCTCAGATTCTACCTGGAACTCTTTATCTGCTAAGAGGGTACAAGGAGATTGGTGAACTACCACAGCCCTCTCCTCTTACACACTAAGAGGGCAAACAAAAATACTTGTGGACCATTTCCAGCCTAGCCTCCTGCACCCTGACAATGTCACGGGACTAACAAAGGCACTGCATTTGTTCAGTTGTACCACAGTCGAGATGAAATGCTGCCATTACAGATCACAGAAACCAAGAGGCCCCTAAACTCAGAAAAGGATAAGCTCATTCTTCAGATGCAGTTAACTCTAAAATGGTAATTTTTTTTTTTTTGAAATTTTGGACCGGATCTTTTTTTTTTTTCTTTTTTATTAGTGAAACGACAACTGTACCTCATAAAATGGTAATTTTTAAGTCTACAAGCTATCTGTTTTTGGAAGGTGGGGAAGGGAAGTTCTTCAGTCTAACAAGAATTTAGGCACTGGGAAGCTAAGGATTGAACATCCTCACATTGATGAAAGTGTCACTGAGTTCAAGCTTACATGCAAGGAACTACAAAATGTCAAATACAAGCAATTAAAAAAAATTCTGCATCTCCCATCTGATTATTATACAAAGAACTAAATTTGAGACAGAAATATTTTTATCACTATTTGCAATTAGAAAAAAATAAAACATGAACATAATACATCTTTCACACACTGTTCCCATTATTAAATTACCTCTCAAGGTACCGACCATAGCTGCTAATCTACTGTTTGCCCAAACCCTGACTTTCAAGCAGCACATGAGAAAGGCAAAACATAATTTTCCAACTCTCAGTACTCTTAACACCTGAAATGCAAAAGGTTTAATGTTAAAATGACCATATTCAGATACAGACATTCTAGATGATTTTCTTTTTAAAAGGGGAAGCAATATGTAAAACAAGACTATGTTCTGGTGAATCTCGAACAGAGACAGTAGGCCGGAGTTCTGAACAGAAGCAGGGAGAATCTGCTAGGCACTCTTGCTCAAGAAAATGACCCAAACTAAGGAATAATCAATCCTGGGCAAAGGAAACATTAATTTACTTCTCCCGATCACAAGGGACCACAAAGTAGTTATTTCTCTACTGAAAAACAAAAAACAAAACCAAAACAACCCAAATCCATCTGTGCTTAATAATATATCATTTCCCGATCATAGTATAGAAAATAAATACAAAGCCTCAAAGACATACTCTTTGAATATTTTTTAGTTTCTAATTCTTACAAATTTAACATCTATAATTACTAATTTTCAAAGCACAATTTCCGCACTTTACAGTTATCTACACCTTTTCTCCACCCTTAAAAGTTAATATATTTACTCTCAAACACTTTCCCTGCCATCTTCAATATTTGTCTTAGAGCTTCCCTATTTTCATCCTTTTTTTGTTAACTGTGACATAACAATTCATTTTCTAATTTTAAGCATTTTTTAATGCTTGAGGCCGTTTTTATTTATGCCACACGATCATTTTATTACATTTTTGAGGTAAAAATGACGTACCCAGGTAGAACTAAAAGACACTGGAATTTGATTTAAAATAAAGCTGCATTTAACAAGCTCTCTGGATTATGTAGGATGACAAACCCAATCTCAAGAAGAAAATACTCTAACTTGTACAATATTTAATTTCTACTGTTCCACATACTATGTCTCCAACACAAATATTCAACAAATTTTCAAACAGCACAGATCTAGGAACAAGAAAATACTGAACTTTTAAAAGTACAAAATACAAGTCCCTAAGCTGCAGGTGATGATAACCATGATGTGGACATTTTATACAATATAATTAACAGGAAAAAAATCTGAAAAAATGTTAACTGGATATTAAGTGATATCTCCTTTCTTCAATTTTGTGATTAACAGGTCTTTTATTGGTAGTAAACTAGAGCAAACAATCAGAATAATACATATGCAGTATTCAGTACACACAATAAAAGTTAAAGAAATTCAAAACCTGTAGAAAACAAAACACTGGAGAAAAATCATACAGCTTAAGATACAGTGGTAAAGGTCCTCTCCATCCTTTGAAAAGATTACAGCTTGTACTCTGTACCCAACAGAACTTACCTCACCAAAATAATACAGACTTTTTTTAGTATTGAGTGTATTTCAGAAAATCAAACACATTTTCTAAGAATCCTGCAATGACAAAAAGGTGATCCTTTAGCCTGGTAAAGCAGACTTATGGGAGGAAAAGTGGGAAAGGAAATTAACTAGCGTTTTGTAACCATTTTTTAATAATTTCTTATTTTCCAAACACTGCTTTCATAACAGAAGTGTTTTACACTTGCACAATATTAATTACTTTATTATACATGGAAGCCTGTGGTAGGCTGATTACACAATAAGACTGCAAACAACCAGTGGTACTTTTCTGACGCCAGAAGAGTACATAAGACTGAAACATCACTGAAAGTACATAAAAAAACTCATCAGCATAAACATCAAAGTACATTAAAAAATATAATCAGGAAAAAAATACAATTGCTAAAAAGTGGTTTAGAGCAGAGCTACTGTCTTATCAGCAGCTTCAAATGGCAATTAGCATTCATAGCAAGTTTTGATGACTTTACAGGACCCCTGTACAATACTGACTAATGCACCCTTTCAAAATGTACATTAAAGGCTGCAATTTCACAGAGAGGTTCTGATGTCATTACTAAATGCAGACACTCATCTCTCACACTAGTTCTGTCACCAGTTGGAATTACCACTTTATTAGTATCTATAGCTCTGAGTACATGGGGTTTCATTATACATGGAAATCTACATGGGGTACTGTTTTTAAAAAATGGTGGGGGGGTATTTATTCTATTATTTATTTGGATGCCATAAGGCATATAAAATGAGTAATACATTACCAACTGGAATGTAAATCATTCTAAAATTAAAACTGTCAAAGTAGGGAGAACAGAGAAAATGGAAAGCCCAGAACTCTTAAGAAACAGGAGAGATTGACAAGAACATAAAAAACAAAAGTGTGGGTGATATGTACCAGCATAGACAAGAGAACAATTTTTTAAGCCATGTATAATAATGCATACCCCAATCTCAAATAATTTCTTAATTCCAACTCGGTTTTAATACTGGAATCAACCAACCTCTTGGGCATCAACCCCAGGCCACTTGTCAGTAGACCCTTAATGGAATTACAGCCTTACTATGGTTGGAAAAGGAGAGGGTGCTTTTTTTTTTCCTTTTATTAAAGCTATCATTCCAGGCTTTGATCAAAGATCCAAGAAGATTTGTTCTACCAGGCTGGAATGAATGTGCTTTGGAAGTTCAGAGTACATTTAAAAGCTGCAACAAAATATAGGTAGCCAATATCTCAGAATTTTGGATCAGCCCAGATGGAGACAGCAATTTGAAATGTTTTCGATCCCTTACATAAATGATGAAATGTCTATCACATCAGCCCCAAGAAAGAGCAATTTGAAATGTTTTTTTCGATCCCTTACTTAAATGACAAAATGTTATATCATACTATCTGTAAATTGGATATTCCATTACAGTGATAACGTACAGAATTTCCATGCGTTATTACACTTTCCTGAGAGTAAAGCAATTAGAATAACCTTAATCCTAGCAACAAAGTTGTTTTATTTTTTTTGCGTTTTGTTTTTTTGTGTTTTTTTTGTAGAAGGTTTTTTAAATTTTTGCATTTAAAACTTTTGGGCTATTCCCTGACGATCTACACATGTAAATTTGATTGCTAAACATTGTCACTTTGAAGGTCAAACTATTTTTAATCTATTGATTTTGATTAAAAATCATAATACAAACAGAGCTAAAATCACGCTAACAAAATAAACTAAATATGAAAAGTTGCATTGAAAGGGCATTACATTATTCTTAATAGGATCGTGTAGAAACATTCCAATGGCAGTGTTCTCAAAATAAAACAAAATTACATTATAAGAACCTCCAGCCCGGTCACTTTTGGGACCTTACCTGTAACTTTGGCTGGTGGGTGTCTTTACTCTTGTACTACATGGCTCACTTACATCAGACATCATATTTGTATACCCTGAGAAATCTGACACTGAAGTCCTTACTCTATGGTCCACTTCTCCATTAGAGTTAGTGATAAAGGTCATTGGCACCCTGCTGCCCGACTTAAACTGAGAACCGAACGCTTGTGCAAAGTTCTCAATCTGGTATGTTGTTCTAGGCTCTAGGTCTTTCTGAGGATCTATCTGGCTAGCTAACTCCTGAGATGGAATCTGAAAAGTTGTCGAGGACTCCAAGTTTTTCTGTTGTTCCTTCTGGCTAGTCAATTTCTGAGATGACGACTGGAAGGCCGAGGAAGTCTCTAAAGTCTTCTGAGAATCGATCAGATCATCCAGCTCCTGGGAAGGTGTCAACTGCTGATGTGTAGCATCCAAAGCAGATAAATAAAGACCTGGCTGAGATCCAAACAACATTCCAAAAGGAGGCTTTGGCAATGAAGATGGCAACACTGAGGTAACAGATTGGCCGAAACCACACTCCAAAGGAGACGTAGTGTATATCTGTTTTTCTGGAAATAATGTGTGGTTGTGGAGAGGCGAAGACAAACTGACAAACTGGAAACCATGTCCAAGAGTGAAACCTGCATTAGAGGATTTTTCAAAAGCCTGCTGGAGGTATTTGGAGTATTCTTGTAACACGGCCGCCTTATCATTCACAGGCGTTTGGGTGCCTGGGCTCAAACTTCCTTCTTGGACCAATTCTGAGTGTTCTCCTGAGGTGTGTAAATCCACACGTGGCTCTGCGATACTGAAAGGATCCTCTTTCTGGCTTTCTGATTTGTTGGAGTATTGATCCAAAATACTTTGTAAAACCTCATCAGGAATTCCAGACTTGTCGTGACAAGACTTAATTTCAGCATTGAGCGCTGAGGAGTCAATAAGTGACAAGGGGGCCTCATTGTCCAGAACACTGACACCTGCAGACTGGATGACGGACTGCTGGGAGACCATGTGTCCCACGTTTATAGAAAAGGCACTGTTGCTGCTGGCAGTTGGTAAGTATCTTCTTTTCTTGGAAAACTGCATGGCATCGTCGTAATTGCTACTTATCTGACCTTGTTTGCCACTTGCACTTTGGAGAAGACTAATGGTCTCCACACTATTATTGGCCGCCAAGCCCAGGGGGCCACTCGGTTTCCCAGACAGGGGCTTCTGCCCCACGATGTCTGGCAAGGGCGACACAAAATTAAGGTAGTTTTTATCGGTATTCTTCCTGCTTCCTTTCTTGAAGATCAATTTTGGCACCCTCTTCTGCAGTTCCTCGATGCCGGTGCCCAGGATGCCGCCGCTGGAAGAGGCGGAAGGCATCTCCACCGAGTAACTCTGCAAGTTCATGCTGTTGGAAATCGGCGACTCGCCAGCCTTCGCGGGCTTCTGCTCCTTGTTCTCCACAGCGAGGCTTTTCGACTTCGCTTTTCTTCGCGAGGAACTTGTATTTCCCTGAGACAACACAGCCATGCTGCCCATACTGTTGTGGTTGGGCACGGAGGCCGCTCCCGCCGCTGCCGCCGCCGCTGCCGCTGCTACCGCCGCGGCTGCCCCCGGGTCTGCGCTGCTGGCGGCTCCCTTGGCTATGGCTTCCCCGCACGTGCGCCTGTGCTTCAACAGTCGATCGGTCCGTGAAAAATACTGTTGGCAAGTGTCACATTTATATGGCTTTTCTCCACTATGCGTCCGCTTGTGTCTCTCCATGTGGTACTTCTGGATGAACTTCATGCTGCACTGGTCGCACCCGAACGGCTTCTCCCGGCTGTGGATCTTCTCGTGCCGCTGCAGCAGGTACTTCTGAATGAAACCCATGCTGCACTGGCTGCACTGGAAGGGCCGCTCGCCGGTGTGGATGAGGACGTGCCTCCGCAGGTGATAGGAGCTCCGGAAAGCAGCACTACAGTGATCGCAGATATGAGGTTTCTGGCTGGGGGACAGCACGGCGCCTTCCCCCTCTCCCACCAGCGACGGTTTGGAAGATGCACTTGGCTTCCTCTTGGCTTTGATTCCCTGAGATTCTGGCTTTGGCCTCTTTGCCTTTTTGACATTGGCGTCCTGCTTTGGCTCCTCGTTGCCATGGGGGTCGTCAGTCCTGCCGCTGAGCAGCACGTCGCGGTGGTGCTGGGCTGCCTGCTGCTGCTGCTGCTGCTGCGGCTGCTGCGGCGGCTGCGGTGGCGGCGGCGGCGGCTGCTGCTGCTGCTGGCCATGCTGGTGCAGAATACTGAGGTCCTGGATGACGCCGTGGCCGGCCCCGTCCCCGCCGCCCAGGCCCGGAGACCGCTCCTCGGCGCCCGCGAACAAGCCCCCGAAGTGGTGGTGGTGGTGGTGGTGGTGGTGGTGGTGGTGGTGGTGCGGGGGGGGGCCCTGCGGCTGCGGCTGCGGCTGCTCGTCGGGCTCGGCGGGCTTCTCCTGCTTGATGCTCACCAAGGACTGCAGGAACCCCCAGGAGGTCCTCTGCGCGGGGAAGGCCGCGGCGGACGCCGCCGGCTCCTTCTTGAAAGTCATGTCCGGGGCCGGCGGCGGGGGGGGCTCGGCGGCCGGGGCTGCTGCGGAGGTAGAGGAGGGTAACACGCACTGCGGGGGAGGGGCGGCCGAGCCCGCCGGCCGGGTGAAGCTGGCGACCGGGGGCAGCCGGTGGTTGAACATGACCATACCCTGGGGGAAGGTGGGCTCCATCTCTCCCCGCCTGCCGCCGCCGCCGCCGCCGCCGGAGCCGCCGCCGGAGCCGCCGCCGGAGCCGCTACCACCGCTACTGCCGGTCCCGCCGCCGCCGCTCAGGAACCCGCTGCCGATTTTCATACCCCGGAGCAGGCCTGGCTGGGGGAGAGGCGGAGCAAGAGGGAAGAGGGAGGAAAAGAAGCTGGAACCGGCCCCCCGGGCCGCGGGACCACCGCGGCGCCCCGGACCCCGCCGCGCCGCCGCCCAGACCGCAACGCGCCCCTAATTCCCAGCCCGGCCGCCTCCCGCGGCGGCACGCACGCTCCTCCCGGGCCCGCCGCCGCCGCCGGGCCGCGCCCGCCGCCTCCCCGACCCGCCCGCCGCACTTACGGGTACCGCCGCCGCCGCAGCCGCCGTCGCCTCCAGTTAATAAAAATAACGCCGTCCTCTCCACAATGGAATTAAAAGCCTCCCCGGCACTGCGCAGCCGCGCCGCGGTGTCTGCTGGGAACTCCCCGGCCCGGCCGGAGGGGAGCCCGGCCGCGCCACGGCGCCTGCGCCGCAGCTTCCGCCCGGCCGGGCTGTCAATCACTGGGGCGGTTGGGCGCAGGAGCGGCCCGGGGCTGCAGGGGAGGGCGTTTGGAGCGGCCCAGAAAAAAAAAAAAAAAAGGCTTCCGAGGCGCCGCCGCGTGATTGGTGGGTGGCCCGAAAGGGGGTGGGCGTGGGTGAGGGCTTCTGGAGTGGGGGGAAAGCGCTTAGGAGGGAGGACCCCAGGGGCGGGAAGTTAGCTGGACCCGGTTGCGGCGTGGCGTGGGAGCTGCTGCAGGGAGGGCTACGGGAGGAGGTGGGGGCAACTGAGGATCGAACCTGGGGGCTCTTCGCTTTCCAGGCCAGGTATTGGGTCAGAACCCCAACTCTTGCACTGCATCCTTGAGCGCCCTTTTGCTGCGGCCCAAGAGCATGACGTTATAAAGGGCGGGGTGGGGGGGGGCGCTAAGAAAACTAGAATGCCACTGTTAACCCTGCTGAAGTTGGTAACCCGAATCCTGGGCGCGTGTCCTTTGCATTTGTAGGAGGAGGCTACCTTGAAACCGCAATCAGAGGTACCGTGGCCAGAAAAAAAAAAAAACCTGTCTTGGTGCCAACCTACCTGAAGGCTACTGGAAAAGGAAGCCGCGTGTAATCCGGGGGCAGGCGCCCTATAAAACACGCCCCCACACATGCTTCCTCATCGTCAGATGGTATTTAAATGCCCACATACCTGCTCGGTCTGGCTAGTGAGTTGCTTTGCCGCGTTATAGTGCGGCCCGGCCCCTTATATTATGAAAAAACTCAGCCCTAGGCCCTTGTAGGAGCTGTTGCTGGGATTCTCTGTCCCTGCCTTTATGTCGAGCGCAGAGAAATGAAAGTTCAAGTGCATTTTGATCTTCAGAGGGGGAAAAAGACATCAGTTCTTGAAGTCAAAGTTAGATGAACGAAGAAATAGTTATTCAGTGTCTAATCGTCCCCTGGTTATCATACTAAGCCTGCAAAAGTCTCAACCAGCAACTTCCCTAACTATATTACAAATGATAGGTGTTTTCCCTAAAAGAACTATGATTTATTTACCTAATGTTAAAATTGCCAATTTTCTGAAGATTTCTAGCTAAATAACCCTCCTATTAAATAATTAATAACTTCTCCGAGAAATTCCATAGTTGAAACCATAAAGATTATTATTATTATTTAGAAATTTTATTTAATTAATTAATTTTGCTTCTTGGGTCACACCTGGCAATGCATAGGGGTTATTCCTGGCTCTTCACTCAGGAATTACTCCTGGTGGTGTTCAGGGAACCATATGGGATGCTGGGAATCGAACCTGGGTTGGCCGTGTGCAAGGCGAACGTCCTACCCCCTATGCTATCGCTACAGCCCCAAAACCATAAAGATTATTAACTAACTGTAAGGGACTCCTCTGAGCCTGCTCAAAAACTTCAAAAGACAATATTTAATGAGCATTTTGAGATAACAAGTAGTAGTGTTTTTCTCACTCCAAGCAACTGGAGAAAAGCATCCTGTTGCTTAGACTGTAAGATGCTTAAATTGTCATTTACAAGTGAAAAGACCAAACATTCCAAAACTTAAGGCAGTAGTAAAATATTAGTCCCTGCCTTTGAGAAATGAGGCTGTCCCTTCACTTAGGTATCAGTGTTTAATGGGTGGCTGGGATGCATATAAGCTAGTTCAAGCATGAAGGGCAAGGGGACACTCATCTGAAAAGCCAACTTTGTTCTTCAGTTATCAAGATAAGAAACCTGTCATCTCTCTCATTCACTCTGTCAACCTTGAGATACTCCGAGCGGAGGACTTACCTCTATGTTGTACACCCCATAGATCAGGAAGATGAAGAGGTCCTGTAAAAGAAAATGGAGGGAAAAAGCTGTTAACGCTAATCATTTCAGCAGTAGAAATACCTGAAATCAACTTTCCTGGGAAGAGACAAAAGAAGACACACTTCATCAAGGTCCATTTATTTTTCTATTTTTCAACATTAGAAGCTGTACCTTGAGCATTTATAAGATACCATCCCAGCATATCACTTAGAGTGGCTGTGCCAGGCAGCTCTTTAGAAATAGAGTAGAAAAACAGCATCCCCAGTACATAAGCCTATTAATTAGAAAAATCAATATGCCAGTTCCTGAAAGACAGCTGGGCAATGAAAAATTAAACTCACAAAATGTCACCTAAGTAACAGAATTAACCCTAAACCTCAGTATTTCTGACCACTGTTTGAGACATGCAACCATATGGTTACAACCTTCAGTAGGATAATACATTCTTTTTAAATATTAACGTATAAATTAGCCAAAAGGACAAACAAGTACCAGGGAAGATTTTTTAAATTTTAATATAGTTTTTATATTATTTCATAAATTCTCATCAAAGGGCAAATTTGTTTTAAAGTAATTCTTAAAATACCAGTTTGACTTAAAGATAAAATTACACAGTATCAACTATCGTAAAACTGCTTTCATTTTTGTTGGATCCTATAGTGAATAAAAGTTCCAAAAATCCATGATTTTAACCCTGACGTTTAGAAAATGCTTTAGTAACTATAAAATACACATTAAAATAAATGTTACTGATAAAAGACAAGTCTAACTCAAATCTAAAAACCCTGCATTCTGTAAAGCAAATAAAACATGATTATACCTTATTAAGGAAAATAGGGAGAAAAAAACGAGGGGGAAAATAGGGAGATAAACTATATGTTTTTGTCTATGCATTTTAATAATAAAAATCTTCACTATGCTATTATTGATAGTACTTATAAAACCGATATTAATAAGAGGTTTATACCACAGTCTATAAGTGGCTACCCAGAATTAAATAATATGACAATTTAAAATAAAAATAATATAGGAATGTTTTAATATTTGTTTTACCTATGAATACTTAAATCTCATAGATAGTAGAAATAGTTCCAGAAGATTGGATAAAACAGAAACAAGCTCTGTTCTTGCTAGTTTAAACTAGGACTTTATTTTTAAGAACACATTTAGATTTATAGAAAAATTGAGAAGATCGTATGGAAAATTTGCATATGCCCTACAGCATTTTGCACCAGGACATTATTTTTGTTGCCATTAATCTTATCAGTTTTAATGCTGCTCTAATTTCAGAAACTAAAACTCTTGAAGCATGTGAATTTATATTAGGAGGAAAAGAGGAACAGTTTTGATTCTTCAGAAAGTCCCATTTTGGGGAAACAAAAAAGGTAGACTTCATTTAACAATAGCTGCAAGACATATCTGAAGAAGAATTGAGGTTACTTTAAAAATATTTTAACATTAATATATCCAAATATGAAGACCAACTGGATAATTACATTATATTTTAAAATAAATTTTAGAATATAAAAACCATCCTTTTTGGTATAAACTTTTAAAAATTAAATTGTAGGGGGAGTATATTTTTTGTACGTATCTGATACTCCAAAACTTACTAATGCTCAGTTCCATCTTTCAAATGTCTGCGAAGTGTACAGTGAATTTTAGCTGCTTGATGGAACTTTTCTGTTCTGTTTTGAAGCCTCACTTGGTGGTGCTTAAGGATTACTCCTGGCTTAGCATTCAGAAATCACTTCTGGAGGGCTCAGGAGATCATATGGAATGCTAGGATTGAACCCTAAGTCGACTGTGTGCAAGACAAGCACCCTACCCACTGTATTATCCCTCCAGCCCGGGGTGGTATTTTTTCATAAACTCTTTATATACTCCTATGCTGGCAAGTTCAAGAAAAAAATTGTCTTTTCTGACTTATAGAAAGACTATCATAATTAACTAAGCAACATAATTGCTTAATAATTGCTAATTATTTCATTTTCTATAATGTACCTACAAAATTAAGAGGTCACTCAAATTCTAATTGTATATTAAGTGATAAGAATGTTTTGCAAAAAAAAAAAAAAAGAATGTTTTGCTTTGTGTAATAAATGAATTACTAAATACAGTTTTCTAAATAGTGAAACTGTACACAGTGTGATTTCTTTAAGAAATTTGACTGCTTACATGAAATCTACATGCTTTGAAAACTAAACCTTCCTAATGTGTATAACAATTCCTATAATTTATCTATTTTATAAATTGTGTCTTCAGAAAAATGTGTTTGTATACACACATATTTGTCACAGTTTCCATATATCTTAATAAAGTGAGGCAAATGTGAAATATGTCCAAAAATGTTTATTTGCTGTGCTTCCATTATTTACTATACGTTTTAAAACTTAATACATTTGGGACTGAGCTATAGTGCAGTAGGTAGGGCATTTGCCTTGCAGGCGGCTAACCTAAATTCAATCCCCAGCGTCCTACGTGGTCCCCTGAGCCCCGTCAGCAGTAGTTCCTCAGTGCAGAGCCAGAAATAAGTCCTGAGCATTGACATTTGACACCTCCCACTCCCCCCTCGCCCCGAAAAAAAAAATCTTAATACATTTAACTCATTTTATTTTTTATAAGGCGGGGGACCCACACCCACCTGGTGGCTCTTGGCTCCTGGTGTCTCGGAGGACCATATGGAATGCCAAGGATTGAACCCGGGTCACCCTACCTGCTGTACTATCACTCCACCCCAGTACGTTTAACTTTTTTAAGTAATATAAAATGATCAGTGCGGAAATCTCCCTATTTTCCTTAATTCCCCAAAAGGGTTGAGACCGGAAAAGAATTTTAAAGAAAGGCAACTTCAACCTCTTTTTTTTTTTTTAAGTGGTGGTTGTGGGAGACTGGGGTGGGGGAGGGGCTATTGGTTGGGCTGGTGGTGCTCAAGGCTGACTCCAGGCTCTATACTCAGGGATCATTCCTAGTTGGCTCAGGAAGATCAAAGGGGGATGCCGAGGGTCGAACCTGGATTGACCATATGCTGTACTGTATCTCTGGCCCCATTCTCTTTTTATGCAACAGATGTGTAAATAAGAGCATGATAAACACCTAAATGATGCTTTCAAAGATCCTGAGCAGTCT